GATAAAGGGGAACCCTCCTACACTGTTGGTGGGACTGTAAATTAGTGCAGCCATTATGGAAAATGGTACAGAGCTTCCTCAAACAACTACAGATAGAATTGACATACAATCCAGCAATCCCGCTTCTGGGTGTATACCCAAAGGAATGGAAATCATTATGTCTGAGGGATACCTACACTACCGTGTTTATTTCAGCTCTATTTACAATAGCCAAGATTCAGAACCAACCTAAATGTCCATCAATGGATGACTGGATAAGGAAAATGTGGTATATCTACACAGTGGAATACTACTCTGCCATGAAAAGGAATAAAATTCGGCCATCTGGAGCAACATGGATGAACTTAAAGAAGATTACGTTAAATGAAATAAGCCGGGTACAGAAAGAGAAATAACACATGTCCTCACTCATAAGTGGGAGAGAAGAAAGAAGGAAAGGGAAGAGAAGGGGAGGCTAGGGGAGGGGGAAAAAAGGAAAGAAGGAAAGAAAGAAAAGAAGAAAGAAACAAACAACAATTACAATAATTACTTGAACTTTCAAAAGGAGAGAACAGATCTGAGGCCACCAGATGTGGGCAAGCAGCCAGGGAGGGGTTAGAGAGAGAAAAAAAAAAAAAAAAAAAGAGGCCTAGTTCTCAGACTTTTATTCAAGTAAATAAATTCAAAGATAGTATCACTTTCATTTCAGAAACTTTTCAAAGTAACTCCATAAATATTTTAAGTGAAAATTTAAATAATGAATAAGAACTATCCAACTGAAGTTGAAAAAAAAATGAAAGGACTGCTTATAATTCTTTTTTTTTTAAAGTTTGTAATAGTAGACCATAGTTGGCTTTTGTTTTCTCGTTTTCCTTTTCATCCTTGCTTGGCCAGTTAAAAAAATGACATACTATGCAGCCCCAAACATGCTGTTTGGAAACTTTATTAATATTTGAAATTCAAAAGTCTGAGAATCAGATCCTGTTCCCTTGCCTACAAATCTGTTCTCTTCTTCAACATTGGCCCGTTTTGTTTTCTCTGGTTGCGATCCCGTTGCCGGTCCCGGTCCGGTACGGGGGCAACACTGAGGGTTGCGATCCGTTGCCGGACACGGAAAAAGACAAAAAAAAAAAAAAACATTGGCCCGTTTTGTTTTCTCTCTTGTCCACTATTCTTCAGACATAAAAGCCTTTTTTTCATTTCTTGCTCCAGTGCCTTTACATATGCTGCTCCTACTGTCTGAAAAAATTTTTTCTCATAATTGACATCTTTTCAGCAATAAGGTCTTAGCGTAAACATCCCCCTAGCACAGAGTGCTGCCCTAACCACTTTATCCATCCCCTTGACCCAGTTTTTAATTATATGTAATTTGTATTTATTTATTTATTTAAATTTATCATTATACAATGTAGCTGATTTTTGTGGTCCTTTACCAATTCCTCCCTTTCCCCCCGCCTTCCTCTACCCCTTTCCCACTCCCATCAACATCACATCCATTCTCTTCTCTTAACAAGTTCAAGAAATTATTGTGATTGTTGTGTCTTTTTTTTCTATTTGTCTATTTATTTATTTATTTTTGTTAGCTCCCACATGTAAGTGAGGACATGTGGTATTTCTCTTTCTGTGTCTGAATTATTTCTTGTTTTTTTTTTTTTTGTCTTTTGTCTTTTTCCGTGTCCGGCAACGGATCGCAACCTTCAGTGTTGCCCCCGTACCGGACCGGGGACCGGCAACGGGATCGCAACCCCCGCGTTGCTCCCGCGCCTCGCTCAGCCAGTGAGCGGGAACCGGTCTGTATGTGGGATCCGAACCCTCGGGCGGGAGCACCGCCGCGCTTCCCAAGTGGCGCACTTATCCAGTGCGCCACCGGGCCGGCCCCATGAATTATTTCACTTAACATAATTTTCTCTAAATTCATCCCTGTTGCTGCGAATGGTACTATTTCATTCTGTTTTATAGCAGAGTGGTATTCCATTGTGTAGATATACCATATTTTCCTCATCCACTCGTCCGATGATGGGCATTTAGGCTGATTCCAACTCGTGGATATTGTAAATAGAGCTGCAATAAACATGGGAGTGCTGGTATCCCTGTAACATGATGATTTCTATTATGGGATAATAATAATAATAGTGGGATAGCTGGGTCACATGGCAGTTCTATCTGAAGTTGTTTGAGGAATCTCCACACCATTTTCCATAATGGCTGCACCATTTTACAGACCCAGCAACAACGTAGGGAGGGTTCCCCTTCCTCTGCATCCTCACCAGCATTTGTTATTCTCGGTCTTTTGGATATTAGCCAACCTAACTGGGGTGAGATGATATCTCAATGTGGTTTTGATTTGCATTTCCGGATGCTGAGTGATGTTGAGCATTTCTTCATGTGTCTGTTGGCCATTCGTATACATCTTCCTTTGAGAAATGCCTATTCAGCTCCTTTGCCCATTTTTTAATCAGGTTACTTCTTTATAATTTGATTGCTTACTTGTTAAGTGTTTGTCTCCTTGGACTGAAAGAACCATGTGGGCAGTATCTGTGTTAGTTTAATTTGCTAATGTTGAACTCCTTACCCACATCAAGGGCATAAAATGGGTCTGAAGCTAGAGACTTAGAGGAAAGACTTCTGAAGATTTCATTGAGAAAGCTATGCTATGAGCCCCAGTCTCACTCTGCTCCAACAAGAAGGAGAAGGGACGAGCTGCTAAACCCAAATCAAGGAAAGACACGTTAGGGACATCAGTTGAAGAGGTCAATATGTATTTCTTACAGTTGGTCAGTGTGTAATTTACACCTGAGAATTTTAAGGGCTGACAGACCAGCTGCAGTGGCCCATGTAAGCAGAGTAGGTGTTGCTGCACTGGCTTCCTGAAACTTCCAGAGTATGGTTAGCAAAGTTCACACAAGGGCCTCCCGGGAACCAGACGTGGGCACATGCCTGAGACAGCCACCATGGGGTCATCTCAGGAATTACCAGGGCAGGCATTGAGGGCTGAGTACGTGTAAACCAGAAGCTGGGGGTTGGCCTAGCTGTCCCAGAACTGAGGAAAGAGCAGTATTACCAAGACAAAGCATTTCAAATAGTGCATATCAAGGAAATGGGTGGCAAGAGATCCCAAAGGATTTGGGAGGGCAGGAGCAGCATCTTAGGAAAGTCCATTGAAGTGCTCTCAATAGCAAGCTTTAAACACCTGCCCAACCAGAAAGCCCAGCACCTGTGCCCAACCGTGAAGTCAAGTAAGACCTGTCCTGCCTCTCTTTTCTCTCTTGCTCAAATCTCCCTTTCTGGGTTGTAGAAAAGACAGAAGAAGCTGAGCAACTGCTCTTCCTGACCTGCAGCATTTTCACCATCAACAGACCCCAGTTGGGAAAGAGAAGACATAAATTCACACTCACTGTGAGATGTATCACTTGGCAAAATTAGATTCCAAGCAAAATCAAAGTAGTTTTAAAAATTAATCAAATAATAAATGAATACGTAAGCATTTTGTTTGTATTGACAACAGGATGAAAGGGGTCATTCATGGTCCTTAATACATTCCTCTAAAATCTTTTTAACAAGCACAAGTATACACTACTAAAAAAAAGACAAATGCAAATAAATAAACCCCACTCCTTTCCCACTCTCACTCTACCATTAATTGCAAATTATTCCAACTCCTCAGACTTGGAGGTTAGAGAGAGGTGCCAAAGTCCTGCCTTCCCCACTCCAGTTTCCAGGCTGGAGACCTCTTCCTCCAGTGACTGGCCAGGAGTGGGAAAGATCTGATCCTCTGAACAGGAGGACCCTCTCCTCCTCTTGCCCACAGGGATCTGGCCTTCCTATTGCCGGCCTCAGCAGGATAACACTCAGCCGTATCCCACTACAACACGTATCCCCAACATTCTTCCACACAGCATGACACAGGCAGCAGGGCCTTTATTTCCCCACTAACATGAAAACATGGGGAAGCAGGCATACCACTTTGTCTTTGCAAGACCAATCCCTGCATTTGGCTCTACCGCTTTACTATAAGAAGGTTCGATGAGCTGAGCTAGACCTCGCCCTGGGGTGATCCTGGGGTGATGCTGCTGCAGTGCTCCAGCAGTCTTCCCATGCCTTCCTGGGGTGGACGAAGAGCCTCCGTCTCAAAGGCCACATGTACAACCTCTCACTTGCCCTGCTCTGCACTGTCTCAAGGAAACTGGAGGACATGCTTGGTCACGGTTTAGCTTGTCATAAAACAGCAACCTCGATGAAATACAAACTAGAGCCCAAATATGTTCTCCTTGCATTTCTGCTCTATCCCTTGAGGCTAATGAACCAAAGTCAATTTACTCTCTCACCTTCCAACATCCCAAACCAGAAGATGGCTGCCGTGATCGTGGAGTCTCCTTTGTCCAGGACCAGCCTGTCAGGTCCCGTCAGCCCGGCTCTCTGTCTTACCTGAGAGCTGAAGTAAAATCCTTGGCTGGGATTGAAACTGCCCCGTGAAGAATGACCTCAAATTGTCTCAAAGGCAATGATAAGTGCAGGCTTGTTGCAAACTTATGGGTTTTTTTAAATAGGCTTATCCTACATTTTAGCAAATATTACTTAATACAAACATATCTAAGATGTGAAAACAGAACTTACATTACCATCTTTATCAATGGGTTGCTCAGAGTAACTGAACAGGAAATGAATTAAAACCACAGTAACTCAAGAGCAGAACCCAGAAGACTTGGTCTCTTACCCCAAGTCTTCTGACAACTTTGGGCCAGGGACTTAATGTGCCCAGCTTCTCCTTCCTCAAAGCCCAAAGTGTCTCAGGCCTCTGGCTCCTACGAGCTGAGAGCCTCATGTGGATGGGATATGGCCACACCCACAAAAACAGGACCATTACTATTCATATATGGTAACGTGGGGTTGACTAATATTTAGACATAACAGAGGTTACACCACCGTCATAGGATGTTCCAAAGCCTGGTCAAGTTGACTGCCTCCCCACCCACCCAGAGGACTGACTCATCCTACACAGAGAAAGTAAAGCCACCACTGACCTCCCAGCCAAGCATCTCCGCAGAGAATAGGATGCTCCTCCCCCGCAGGTCCGGGAGCAGTCACTCCAGTTGCCCCAGGCATCCCAGTTGCCATCTTCCTCTTCATCTGAATAAGTGTTTCTTGAGGTCTAGATGTGAAAAAATGCAATAAATTATAGACAAGTGTGGAATAAATATCCCAAAGCTTGCTCACAGTTATACCAGAGTCGTCTTCTAAGCTCTTTACAAAGAAGAAAATTGCCTTAAAATGCTTTGTTTTGGAATGGCTGCATTAAAAAAACCACTTAAGAGAGGTTTATATAGAAATTATTTGGGGCCGGCCCGGTGGCGCACTGGATAGTGCGCCGCTTGGGAAGCGCAGCGGCGCTCCCGCCCGAGGGTTCGGATCCCACATACAGACCGGTTCCCGCTCACTGGCTGAGCGAGGCGCGGGAGTAACACCTAGGGTTGCGATCCCGTTGCCGGTCCCGGTCCGGTACGGGGGCAACACTGAGGGTTGCGATCCGTTGCCGGACACGGAAAAAGACAAAAAAAAAAAAAAAAAGAAATTATTTGGCACCTGTTTGCCTTTCCACCTGAAGAAGGTTTTGTCCAAATGGCTTCTAAGCTCAGTTTCATACCTGAAATTTTGTCATTCCTAAATTTAAATAAATTACCTAAATACCAATTTCTTTTTATTATTATTCAGTCTTCTAACTTACATAGCAATGCCCCAGCTTGTATCTGAGAAGTGATCACCATTGAAATTCTGACTTGCTTGTCCATCAGGAAGACAGGTAATAACTTGCAAGAAGCCTTCTTCCATGAGGATATGTGGAACCTCCCCAGAGAGGCTCCATCCCAGGAAAATAAAGTCAGATGGACAAGCTTGGCTAAGTTATAAATCTTTTGGGGTCCAAGAAAATAGGGAAGGGTCAATTATGAGTAGAGTTTGGTTTCATTTGTCTCCTGGACTTGCCACCGCTGACATATCAGGACACTCTAGAGAAGACAGGAGACAGGGAGGTACAGTGAAAAATATATAGATAGCTGTAAATACAGATGTGAAAAGAAATGAAGCTTATTACTTAAAGTTACAAAAGTTTACTAAGGGACCTAAGTAGACTTGAGTAAACGGAGAAACCACCATAGTCCCAAAAGGGTAGACTCAGCACTGTAGAATGGTAATTGTCTTTAAATTAATCTACAAATTAACAGCAATTCCAATCAAAACCCCCAAAAGGAAAGTTTTGGAGACCCAACAAATGATTCTAAAATTCATCTAGTGGAGTATAAGTCTATAAGAGCCAAGAAAAAAAAAAAGGTAAAAGAAGATAGAATTACCATATGATCTAGCAATCCTACTTCTAGGTATTTATCCAAAAGAATTGAAATCAGGATCTCGAAGAGATATTTGTACACCCATGTTCGTTGCATCATTGTTCACAATAGTCAAGAGATGGAAGCAGCCCAAGTGTCCACTGAGAGATGAATGGATAAAAAACATGTAGTATACACATACACTGGAATATTATGGAGCCATAAAAAAGAAAGAAACCCTGTCACATATTACAACATGGATGCACCTTGAGGACATTATGCTATGTGAAGCAAGCCAGTCACACAAGGATGGATACTGCATGATTCCACCTATATGAGGTGTCTAAAGTAGTCCAATTCATTGAAGCAGAAAGTAGAATGGTGGCTGCCAGGGACTNACACATACACTGGAATATTATGGAGCCATAAAAAAGAAAGAAACCCTGTCACATATTACAATATGGATGCACCTTGAGGACATTATGCTATGTGAAGCAAACCAGTCACACAAGGATGGATACTGCATGATTCCACCTATACGAGGTGTCTAAAGTAGTCCAATTCATTGAAGCAGAAAGTAGAATGGTGGCTGCCAGGGACTAGGGGAAGGGGACAATGGGGAATTACTGTTCAATGGGCATAAAGTGTCAGTCATGCAAAATGAAAAAGTTCTTAAAGATGTGCTGTGTAACATTGTGCTTGTAGTTAACCATACTGTACCATATACTTTAAAATTCATTGAGGATAGGTCTTATGTGATTTTTTACCACAATTTTTTTTTTAAAACTGTAAAAGAATTGAAATGGGACAGAAATTGCCTCAATTAAATGATTACAGAATTGGCATAGCAATAAAACAATCAGATCTATTAAATTAAAAAAGGGTCCAGAAACAGATTCTAGTACAAGGACATAGTACATTTAAATCATAGACAACATCTTCACAAAATACACCAAAATGAATTTCAACTATATTAGAGATTTATATTTAAAATACTAGAAAAATTACAGATGAATAGTCATATAGAGCTGGTATAGGAAAGACTTTCCAGAACATATCAAAAAAAAGGTAGAAACTATAAAGAGAAAGACTGATAAGTTTAATTACATTAAAATAAAAACACAAATAGCATGTTAAATCTCTTCATCTACAGATTAAGATATAGGTATGTAAATCTACACACAAAAATGTCATACTTAGAGTACAAGAATATGGGCTGGAAACACACCAAAGTGCTTCTAAGAATAGACAGAGTAGGACTAGGAGCGAATGTTGTCAGGGAGAGACACAAAAGGAATGTCAACTGGATGTTTTATTTCACCCTAACCCCTCCAAAAAAATGTCTAAAGCCAATATGCCAAAATCTTCAATTTGATGAAGCAAGTGGTGCTGTAATGGATACCGGTTTTATGAACTGAACTTTCATGGTTTTTAAAATTTATTTTTGTAAATATATTTCAGGGGATAAAGGCATTAGATAACAATATAAGCCTATGTCATTTTTAATACAGGTAAACATGTAGATGCACAGAGAAGGGAATGAGAAGTTAACTAAAATATTACAGAGGTTACCTGTAGGTAAGAGGGATTTGAGTGACTTTAATGTCTTTTGTTTTTGTTTTTCTGCACTTCGTAGAGTCTGTTTTTCATAAAACACACAATACTTTAATTAAAAACAAGCACACAAACAAACAAAAACCACATCCTCTTGGTGTACAGAAAAGTTCAAGTCAGACAGAATTTCACAGGTAAGCTCTACGTTGGAGAACAGCAATGTTTGTGAAGGGACGTGTGACACGCTAATGAACTGCAGCCTGTGACTGCACCAGATATTGCACAGGTTTCCTTAAGCCCTTAGGCAAGTTACCTCATCCAACGAAAAACCATTAAACTAACATCCAACGAAAAACCATTAAATTAAGAGAGAGATCTGTAGGAAAGACCTTCAAAAGTGAAATGAAGAAATAATAAAGCAGAGAGGGGGTTTCCCAATAATTTTCACTCAAGTCTCACCAGTCCACGGGTTTTATGGCTTCTTGCCAATCTACCTATTTACAGCACAGTAAGCGGTGCTACTAGAGGCAATATTTCAGTAACAGTCAAGTGAAAGGAAAGGATAAATATCTGGCAACTGATCAAATCTGTCATCAGGAATAGGGGCTAATTAAACCCACACTATTTACTGTTCTAATTAGACCACTGTTCAGTTCAATGTTCTACACTAAACGTCACCAAACATAACTGCATCCTGCCTATAACATAATATAAAGTCTTAATTCATTAAAAATACAATAAGCAGTTTAATACATTCATCTTGACATTTAGGTTAGGTAAGTCCAAATCATTTAGGCAAATGTTTAAAATATACACAGCTGAAACTGATTTTTCATTTTGTCACTTGATATACTGATAGGTTGAATGCGAAAAGTTGAAAAACATCATCATATTTATTTTTAAATGAAAGTTGAGAGTTCTTTGCAATATTGTTTTAATTTGTTTTTATTCCCTCTATCCCATCTGTTCAGTTTATAGTTAAAATCAGGTTTCTTTCCATAACTTCTCCACCTTTACTTACGGAAAAAAAAAAAAAAAA